CTCAATTTGGGTTACAATTTTAGATTCACAAATTGATACGCACACTTAATCTCATGTCAAGCTTTGAAAAATCCACAGGATCAATATTGTCCTCACTTTACAAATGAGAGAATGGAATCCTTACAGGAACACAATTGACTTGAAGCATTTATAGAAGGCCAGCTGTGTGCTAAGAATACGGGGAGAAAGAGCTTCTGGTGGCCTGTGGGTCACAGAATAATGATTATTTCAACCCAAAAAGGAGCACATAGGGAAAAGTTAATGAAGTTTTTTAATAGGTTGGAAAGTGTTTCTCAAACTTTGGGATTTTAGAGCTAAAGAAAATAACACAGAGGCCTAGGCTCACTGCAGTAGGCTAGGATCTTGACCTCTGCCTTTTCATCAAATTCCTCGGGGGATTTCACTTTATACCAAAGTGTATGTCTACATGTGAGTGCATGTGCGCACGCATGCATAGTGACTGTTCACATGTGCACTAAAGCAAATAATTAAAGGCTAAGTTACAGCATGAAGCATTCGGAGGAGAGAGCAGAGGAAATGTAGAGAGGAAGTTTATACACCCTGAAATGGCCTCCTTGGGAATGGTACAAAGCAGTGGTTCTCAGAACACACCAGAAGTTCTTGGAGGACTGCTTCAAACACCGCTGGGCCCCACCAACCCCCAGAATTTGAAATTCAGTGGGTCTAGAGTTAGACCCTGGAATTTGCATTTCTGACAAGTTTCCAGGTGCTGCTGCCGCTGATGCTGCTGCTCCAGGGGCTACACTTCACAAGGATTGGCATAGACGCACGCAGTGGTTCTAAACCCTGGCTGCTCTCTAGAATTGCCTGGAATGAGTTTTTAAAGTATTGATGATGGGGCTTCACCTAGAGATTCTGGTGTAATAGAACTTCAGTGGAGGGCAGCCCCGGTGGCCCAGCGGTTTGGCGCCGCCTGCAGCCCGGGGTGTGATCCTGGAGTCCCAGGATGGAGTCCCACGTGGGGCTCCCTGCGTGGAGCCTGCTCCTCCCTCTGCCTGTGTCTCTGCCTCTCTCTCTCTCTCTCTCTCTCTCTCTCTCTCTCTCTCTCTGTCTACGAATAAATAAATAAAATCTTTTAAAAAATTAAAAAAAAAAGAACTTCAGTGGAGGTCAGATAGTGTCGTTTGTAAAGCTCGCAGGTGTTTCCATGTGCAGTCCCAGTAGGGCAGCACTGGTGCTGAGGCTTCCCGGAAAACGAGGAGTCATATTCAGACCTGGGTTGCCAGATTTAATCATGTTTGCCTGCAGGGCTTTTCCCAAAGGCAGGTGCATGCGAGGCACACAGTAATCTTCCTAACACCGTTTTCCCACCTGGAATCCATGATGCTTTTAAAAGGTATTTCCATGAGACAGAAGTAAAACCCGCGAGACCCCACTGATTTTTTTTTTTCTTTCAACAATGCTGCCCTCTTGTGTCCTTTAATAGTAGAATCGTATAGAAGCCCACCGGAGCCATCAGTATGGCAATTTCCTGCTGCATAGCTAAACAGCTTGGGGGGGGGGGGGGTTGTTAGATTAAAACAAATTTAGCATTCATTAATTTTTAATCTGTGGCAACATGAGTCTCCAACTGCAGCCCCTCAGTGTTCCAACCATTTTCCCCTGCATTCAGTGCGACAGCCTCGTCCAGGGGTAAGAACTACTAGAGTTTTTTTCTTCATTCGGCCAAACCCTTCTCAGCAGAGCCAGAAGCACAACCAATCAGGGAGCAAGAGATTATCACCAACTAAAGTATTTGGGGCCTCGGAGAGTCTAGCAGCGGTCCGTCGTACTCAGAACCGTTCGTTCTCACCTTGTCCTCAACACCGATCTCTTCTTCACTTGACCTACTAAGAACAGAACTCATCAAGTGGGAGCTCCCATGTCTTCCCACGAGGAGTTCAGCAAACCTTCCGGAGTCCTGCCATGTGGATGCGGCCTCCTCTGCGCCCGTCCTCCATCTCCCTTCATCAGGTCTCCGTCCTCCTCCTGCCCCAGCCCCAGCCAGGATCATCAGCAACTCCCTCTTTTCAAATCACTCTCAGGGGCGTACAGGCTTAATTTTACATCTCCCAACCCCAACGATACAGATGCAATGAAACGCCGGGACACCTGCACCCCGATGTTTCTAGCAGCCATGTCCACAATAGTCGAACTGTGGAAGGAGCCTCGGTGCCCATCGAAAGATGAATGGATAAAGAAGATGTGGTCTATGTATACAGTGGAATATTCCTCAGCCATTAGAAACGACAAATACCCACCATTTGCTTCAACGTGGATGGAACTGGAGGGTATTATGCTGAGTGAAGTAAGTCAATCGGAGAAGGACAATCAGTGTATGTTCTCATTCATTTGGGGAATATGAATAATAGTGAAAGGGAATATAAGGGAAGGGAGAAGAAATGTGTGGGAAATATCAGAAAGGGAGACAGAACATAAAGACTCCTAACTCTGGGAAACGAAATAGGGGTGGTGGAGGGGGAGGAGGGCGGGGAGTGGGGGTGAGTGGGTGACGGGCACGGAGGGGGACACTTGACGGGATGAGCACTGGGTGTTATTCTGTATGTTGGCAAATTGAACACCAATAAAAAAAATTTATTAAAAAAATAAAATAAAATTAGTATAAAAAAAATTTACATCTCCCAGCTGTAAAGTAAGACACCTCTTTGACCCAGGTACCTGCTCAGCTACTGCACCATTTCTCTGCTCCATTCACTTCCAAACTTGGAAAGAGTCTGCTGAGGTTGCATCTAAAGCCTGTCCTCCCCTGCCCCCCCCCCACTGCACCCCTTTCTTCCATCTGCTCCTGCCTGGCTGTGTTCCCATCGCAGCACTGACGCTGGGATGGCTCTCATGGACTGCAGGGACCTCCCCGATGTGCGCCGAAGCCAGCGGACACGGTTTTGTACCCTCTGAGTGCTCACAGTGTTCCACTCTGTGGGCACGGCTCCTTCTTGAGGAACTCTCTGCTCTTGATTCTGAAACATCCCATGCCCTGGATTCCTTCCTGTTCCTCTGCTGCTGAAGAACCAGAACCCTGCAATGGCCTCTGACTCTTGTGCTGCCTTGTAGAACCTTTTCTGTCCCCACGGCAGGCTCCCCTTACATGGTCTCATCCACTGCTGTGGATCTTAATACAGCTAATAAACCGATCAGTACCCTCTTCGCAGAAGCATTGGCTCTGGTTTTGTATCATATCTTGGGTTCAATTTATTCTGTTCACCTCATCAGCTTTTACCAACATGTTTGATTCACCACAATAATCCCCACCACCTAGTGCTGCCGACACTTAATAAATAGTGCTGATGGAATGAGCCCCTGAACTCTGAATGAGATAGGATATGAAAGGGAGGGGGCTGGTAACCATGGAGGATGGGTCCAAGCAGAGCGAATGCGAGCAAATGCTTCTGGGAAGAGGGTTTTTGGTTTTTATTTATTTACTTATCAGAGAGCAAGAGCACAAGCAGGGGGAGCGGCAGACAGAGGGAGAAGGAGAAGCAGGCTCCCAGGGGCTTGATTCTTGGGCCCCTGGGATCACAACCTGAGCTGAAGGGAGACACTTAACTGACTGAGCCACCCAAGTGCCCCGGGAAGAGGTATAAATAATGGCTTTCTACTTCCAGAAATTTCCACCATAGGCACTCATGTCTAGTTGTGGAATAAAGAGAAAATGTTTCATAGAACTTTATAGAACTTTTTTGTATCTCATTTGCTTTATAAAGGGAAAGGAGCTTGTAGCTTTAGTTGCTGAGTAATAACCTGATTTTGGGAGTCTTTTCTTCAAGAAAGAAAAATATTTTTCTTATAAGCCAAATTCTACCTCTGTTGAGTAGACAGTGGTGAGTAAAGGCATTCCCATCTTCCAAACAAAGATACCAAAGGGCAATTTAACAGCCAAACAAGCAAGGAAGCCAAGTCCCTAACCCTGGCTGTCTTGCTCCACATCATGTTCCCTACCAATGTAGATAGTCCTTGCCGGTGAGAAATAAAATAAGAACACATCCACCTTGACTCAACTTGGAGAAAAGGATTTGATTTTTCTGAAGGACATGTACCCTACAGGCATTAGTAGGACACAGAGAAGTCTGAGCCCTGCAACCCCTTGAAAATGTCAAATGACCTGGCATGCTGGGTGTTTGAGCCACTTTGTGGAAGAAACCCAGCCATGCCTTTGACTTTTCATGCCATTGAACTTGGACTCTCCATGCTCTCTGGTTTTGTATCCAATCTAGCTGGTGCCAAGAGGATTAGCTCAACTCCAGCTCCCTGTGGAAAGGATTCATTCTCCTGTTTAGGAAATGTGATGTCAAGCTGAAAGAAGCTGATGAGCAAACTCCGCGGAGCCATAAAGCAGGCCTTGGTGAACTGCATTACATGGATGTCTCAGAATAAAATTTAGTTTGAAATGGTCAAGGACAGGGTGTGCCATTGTGGGCTGGGAGCCGCTGTGGCTCAGCTGTTTGTACAGCATTTAATATGTTTATCTTTCTGCTAAACATATTGTTGTTGAGTCATCTCTATTGCACAGACACCCTGTGTGAGGCCCAGCTCTGCAAATCCAACACACACAGACAGGCCTTCTATCTTCAATGACCTTACAGTCTACAAAGTCAAAATAAATGCTTCCTCTTACTTCTCACTTTGATGAGTAAGGTACCCAGGTTTTGAGAAAGGTTAATCATACGTTCTTTTATCAGGGCAGCAACCATGAAGTAATAAAAGTAAAGGAAGAACTTAAATGACCATTATGTCTTTAAGATCATTTAGTAGTATTGCTGCAAACTGAAAATGGAAAGCTGGTTTACCCAAAAGTACCAGCAGCCTCCAAACCATCAATATTTCATGTTACACTATCATGTTGTCACCACTGTCAAAGTAATTACATTAATAAAACAAATAATGCCATTAAACTTCAAAGTTTGGACAGGAAAAAAAAAGACAAAGATTACATATGTCTGAAAAGTAGAGAAACTAATGAAATGCTGTTTGTCCTTCCTTAGAAATTGTTCGAGCCATGACACATGTGATAAACCAAGGAATGGCCATGTATTGGGGGACCTCGCGGTGGAGCGCCATGGAGATCATGGTAATTTCATTTCTATTTTTAAATGGCCATTAAATACTTAACTGTTTTTCAGGCACTAGATGTAAATTACAAGACCTTTTGCAAATTTTCCTAACAATCACCATGACATTAGACTGCTATGATCATTCTGTCATTCCAGAGATGGATATGGGGCTGGATCTCATCAGCTCAGAATACAACAGGGAAGGTGTTGGTCTCTAGCAGGAATCATAGTCTAGCGTGTTCTTCAGGGGCAAGAGGATACAGTGGACTTCCCAGCTAAGGAGATACGTGAACAAAACAACCTGGCTTCCTTTTTTAAAAACTGTATTAAAGGACTCTACTGCTAACATGCTAATGACTCATCATTTTTATATGTTAGTTTGAGTTTTATTTCTTTAGGAACCTAAATTATGGGTATTGCCATGGACTATTATGATTCACAGCTTGACTAATTTGCCCTGACTTCACTCAATCCAGACCCTCCCAAAGAATAATAAGGATTTCCCACATTTGATATTGTTCTTAGTGAAATTGATGATCATAACTTTGTTTATTATTTGGCATCTTGGTTTGTATTGATTTTCCTAAAACTAAGTTTTCTCATGCATACGAATCACAGAGCAGCCTTATTTCTCATGGGTATAAATTCAGTTGCAATCTTATTTCTCCCTAGGAAGCCTATTCTGTAGCAAGGCAGTTCAATATGATCCCACCGGTCTGTGAACAAGCTGAGTACCATCTTTTTCAGAGAGAGAAAGTGGAGGTTCAGTTACCAGAGCTCTACCATAAAATAGGTAATCTTCACAATCAAATTTACTGATTATTTTTAACAATAAGAGTATCAGTGATCTGGAAAAAAATGTTACTGAAATGCTTTCCTTAATGTTCCTAATTAACATAGAAATTGTGAGGACTATTCATTTCAGAGAATGTAAAAGAATCAGATGTGCCTATGGGGGTAGTCTATAGAGTATTACTGATGAAATCCAAGCAGTTGTAAATTGTGACTGGTATTTAAACTGTACTCAGTAAGTGTTCAAAAAATGCATACAGAAAGAAGGGCAGAAACAATGAAGAGACCCATTTTTTTCATTGGGTACTTCTCTAACCAAAGCATGCATCTTTGACTAGATTATAACTGCCTTACCAAAAAAAAAAAAAATTATGGATAGATACATCTATATCTTCTACTCTGTGCCTGAAATTAAGTTAGATATGGGGAGTTCAAGAATGCCTGACAAGCCTAGCCTACATGTCTGTGTAGGTAGATGTAACAACTTCAAAGAAAGGAAAGAAATAACATATACATAAGAATTCTTGTACATCCAAAAAACATGAATAAGCCACATTTTCAGCCTTATGTATCACAATAATGTCCAGAGATAACTTTCTTAAAAAAGGGGGGGGGGGGCAGGAAAACGAAAAAAAAAAAAAAGAATAAAAAATTGAACGGCAATCCCAATCGTTATCATTGCTGGCACTTGCTGTGTGTTTACTGTGCAGTCGGCACTGTGCTGCTATGTACCAGGCACTATATAGGCACTCCGTGGACAAGTGAAGCACTGAAGCATTCTCCTGTGCAAGTCAGTGTTTGTTTCAGGCTTGTTTGGCCTGAAAACAAGGCCTGCCCCCTATAACCTACAGTACAAGTTCAGTTGGTTTATAAAAATAACCAAATTTTAATGGAAAGATGTATGCTGGTATTAACTGACTAGCTGTTTTCCCATAACTAACAAGTTCTCTTTTAAACACTCCCACACTTTTGATCTCAGTTTGCACTAGCAACTTCTTCAGTTTTTTCCTTCTGTAGGAGTTGGAGCAATGACATGGTCTCCACTTGCCTGTGGAATCATCTCAGGAAAATATGGAAATGGAGTGCCTGAAAGTTCTAGAGCTTCGCTGAAGGTATTTTCCCCCACTTCTCGAAAAAAAGAGTTCTGGGGATGGGAGAGGATGGAAGACTGGACAGAACAGCTCTGCAGCAGCCTGTGGCTTCCTGGCCCAGGCAGCGCGTGGCCTTGGCCAGCCCAGTGTCTTCAGGCAGGCTCCCCCAGGCCCCGGGGAGGCTCTGCTCCTGGCCAGGCATCAATCAGGCATTCATAATCTGTCTGGGGGCTGGGGAAACTGCCCGGGGGTGCCTGGGTCAGATTTACAGGGCTCAAATCCCTATGCTTTTATTCTTACGTTAAAGAAGGCATTTCATTCCTCCTTTGAAACTGATGAAATGTAAAATCTCTTTTCAAGAGGATGGTTTGTTTGTTTACTTTTCAAACAATTGGGGCAAACCAGCCTAGCTGAGTAGGGCTCCAGGTGGATTGATGTTGTTTACTGTGTGGGGGTGAGGGGTGAGAGGGAGGGTTGGGAAGCAGATGCTCAGCCAAGGTGGCCTCTGTCACTCCAGCTCAAGAGATCAACTAGCCACGGAGTCTTACAGTTTAAATTCTTCTCTGAAGCATAGAGATATTTGGCATCATTGACAAAAATTACTTCCATTTAGAACACCTCAATGATTAATTTATTGGAGAGTACTTCACACATCCTTAAGGAGGGAGTACATGTCTGTTTTTAAAAACTTGAGACAACGTGTGATAACATTAGAATCACAAATGATAATGTCAAAGGAGAGAGAATATTGGCATTTTTAAAATTCAGACATGGCAAAGGCCCCGAAGAAGAAGTCTGACACATCCTCTTGCCTCCGTCAGTACAAAGTTAGCAGGGGAACAGCTCACATTAAGCCTGAACCACCAACCCTGTAATCAACTTGCTGGGACCACTATGTGCTTCACTAATCAGAACTGTCTCAAGGTTCTAGGTCTCCCACTCTTTCTGCTTGTTACAGTTGACCTATTAGCTAGTTTGTTCTCTAATATAATATAAATATCTCCTAAAGCATGGTGACATGCTTATTTCTAGCTTGGCATTATCACAAAACATAATTATCCTAGAATATTAATTGTGGTCTTGCTTCTGAAAATTGCAGAATGTTCTGAACCAAGCTTAAATAAGTTAGCAAGGAAAAGCTAAAAGCATCTTAAGATATAAAAAGAGAAAGGCAAAAAGAGTGAATAAGAAAGGGAAGCACTGAAAATTGCAGTTTTTTACCGAGAACCTACTATGTGCCAAGCACTGAGCTAAGCATTTTTATTCATTTCCTTTAATCTACACAAAGATAAATGGATACAGATGACTCTTAATCAGTTATAGCTAAGCATGTTGTCTTACATTCTTTCAGACTTTTTTTTTTTTAAGATTTATTTGAGAGAGAGCACACAAAGGCAGAGGGAGAAGCAGACTCCCCCGCTGAGCAGGGAGCCCGATTAGGACCCCAGGATCATGATCTGAGCCGAAGGCAGATGCTTTAACCTGCCACCCAGGTGCCCCCTTCAGAGACATTTTTAAAAACCTGAAGTACTTCCACATATACTGGTTCTCAGACTATCCTTCTAAGAGGGTAAACCTTTCCAGTTGTAGAAACCGAGCATAAAGAGGTCAGATAACAATCCAAGAGCGTCAACTCATAATAGAGTTTATAGTAGAACCCAGGTTTCCTGGCTCTCAGTGTATCTCTCTCAAAAACCTTTTTGTTTCCCTGCAAATCTAGGTTTTTAATGGAGGAAGAAGTAGCTGTACTTTTTTGGGGTGTAAGACTGACCTCCATCATTGTTTGGAAAAAGCTTACAAACAGCTTAAAAAACAAAAACCTTTCACAAATGCATTAACAAAAAGAGAAAGTAAAAAAAAAAATAATAATAATAAATAGATACGAAAGACTGAAGGTGGCTAAATCCAAAAGGCAACTCAGAAAAATATTTCTATTGTTGACTTTGATAAAGTTAACATCTACTGAAACATCCTTAACAATAAACATGAAGAACTCTGGACAGCTGAAAAGCCTCTATCTGATCACGAAGCAGGTCCCTAGAGCTCCTTGGACTCTCAGGGCTTCCTCAGTCATTAGCCTGAGTGTTTTCTATACGAATATCCGTGCCCTTAGCAATGCCACTCGCAGGGCACCCGGCTGGCTCAGGAGGTAGAGCATGCAGACGGCTCTTGGTCTCAAGGACGTGAGTTCTGGCCCCACACTGGGCATGGAGCCTACTTAAAATGAAAAATAAAATAAAATTGGCTTAAAAAAATTAAAAGTAACTTAGTAACTGAAGAAAAAAAATTTAAAGATAGAGGGACGCCTGGGCGGCTCAGCAGTTGAGCGTCTGCCTTCAGCTCAGGGTGTGACCTGGGATCCCGGGCTCCCTGCGAGGGGCCTGCTTCTCCCTCTGCCTGTGTCTCTGCCTCTCTCTCCGGGTTTCTCATGAATAAATAAATAAAATATTTTAAAAAATTAAAGAGAACTAGGCAAGTGGATAAATAAGTTAGCAGCTTTCACTTCCTCCCACTCTAAATGAAATAAATGGCTGGTGTTTCACATTAGTTATTGTAAATTATACCAATAAAGTAGATACTGATGTTTCATGCCGTTGTAAGTATTGAACTTGTATTTGAAAGGTAAATTAACACAGTGTGAAAAACACCTATCTAGGGGTCGCTTGGAAAGGAATACAACCTGGGGGTTTTATGGGAGGCTGCGTTTGGCCCACTGCCCTCACAGTGACTCCAGACCTTTTGTCACCGGCTATGTCTTCACTGCTGAGCTAGACTCTGCTACTTCTTCACATGTCTGTTAGGCATCCCCCGTGGGCATTAGTCATGCCTAGTGGAATCTATCATCACCCCCTAGAACCTGCCCTTCCTTCTTGATTAGCAGTACCTCCACCCTCCATCTGGCCATCCCAGTCGGAAGCCAAGGGTTATGTCAGACTGCCTCCTTTCCTCCCTCGGCCTTGTCCAGTGGGGCACCCATTCCTCCAGGCCATTTCCTAACTCTGTGGCCCATCCCCTGCATAGCCTTTGTTCCAACCACCATCACTTCTTCCCTATTTTGCTGCAGTATAGCTTCCTGTCTTCACTTATTTATTTTTCCCTTTTGTCAACTACCCATCACTGTGATCAGTTATCTTTCTAAAGACTAATCTGACCATATCATAACCCTGCTTAAAATCTGTTCCCTCCCAGTCATCCCGTATAGGACAAAACCCAAACCCCACAGAAAAGCATTCAAGGAAATAACCTTGGGATCTAAGTCGTGCCCATTTTTCCATTCTTGTCTCTCCCCATATTATATCACTGTATTATTCATCCAAATACACTGTACTCTCCTTTGCCTCCCAGAAATGCCCTTTTTTCATCTTGCTGTGAAACCCTCCTCATCTCTAAAGACAAAGCTTGGCTGTCTTCACTTCTGTGAAGCCTGTCCTCACTTTATAAAACTGAATTTTTACATCTTCCTCTATTTTTCCATTAACAGTTCTTTTTTTTAAGATTTTATTTATTCATTCATGAGAGACACGGAGAGAGATGCAGAGACACAGGCAGAGGGAGAAGCAGACTCCATGCGGGGAGCCCGATGCGGGGACTCGATGTGGGGACTCGATGTGGGGACTCCATGCGGGGACTCAATCCCAGGACCCCGGGTCATGCCCTGAGCCGAAGGCAGTTGCTCAACCACTTGAGCCACTCAGGTGCCCCTCCATTAACACTTCTTACAGAGTCTTAGAACTCTCTAGTTGCAAACAAAAGCATTTAATTCAAATGAATTTAATTGAAGAAGGAGAACAGATGAACACTTGCTGCGAAGGATAGAATGGGGATGCTCTCAGGGTTGACTCCAACCAGAGACCTGTACGTTGTCAAGACTCTCCATCTCTGTTTTTCTCTGCATGTGGGTGTCTTCTACTACAAACAGGTCTTCTCCATGAGGCCAGGAGTGGGAAAACTGCAGAATAGAGAGCTATCTTTCTTTGTGACCCCAGTCCAGAGAAGACGCCAAGCTTGGGTCATGTACCAACTTGTTAGAGCAATGACAGTGGCCCAAAATGTAAAGCGCTTTGACCAGCTCCTGTGACGCACCACTGTTAGGGGCATTTCCCGTTAGGCAGCAGTCATGGAGGGAGGGACCCCGAATACAAAACGCTTCTCAAGTTACAGGACAGAGATTTGTGATTATCTCTAGAACAGACACTGAAACTCAGGCAATTCATCACAGAGCCTGGCACCTGACAGGCACTCAGTGAATGTTTGTTGACTGAGTGCAATGAGCCATAACAGAAGATCAACAAAGTCTGATCAGCAGACCAGGGGTGCAGCTTTTAAGTAGAAATGAACTAGTGGGGGAAAAAAAAAAAAAAGAAAGAAATAGTGCAATAAAATTTATGGGCAGGTCTTTCCTGTTGCTAGCAAAATGCTAATAGAAAAATCGTAAAAATATGTACCCCCTCTGTCCAATGAAAATAGGAACATGCAGACTCAGGTGAATCAAGGTGGGGGAAGAGTGGCAGTTCGAGTACTCCAGCTGTTCACGTTAGAGTTTTGCACATCACAGTGTCATTTCAGAAGGAGATTTTTTTAGCTTCAGCTGTTTACTAGAGATTTCAGCTTCAGTATCAAAGATTTTGCTGCTCTTTTTTTTTTTTTTATGATAGTCACACACACACACACACACACAGAGAGAGAGAGAGAGAGAGAGAGAGAGAGAGAGAGGCAGAGACACAGGCAGAGGGAGAAGCAGGCTCCATGCACCGGGAGCCCGATGTGGGATTCGATCCTGCGTCTCCAGGATCGCGCCCTGGGCCAAAGGCAGGCGCCAAACCGCTGCGCCACCCAGGGATCCCTTTGCTGCTCTTTTGAGCCAAAGATTCTGAAGTTTAAATTACAATAGTCAGTGATCTTAGGTGCTAAACGATTCCAAGACAAGGTCCAGAGATGAAATGTGACTTCCTCTGTCCATGGCTTTATAGCTGCAGCCTGAGTTTCAATCCATTATTAACAAACAGGCCAGCTGGAGGTTTCAGGGCCAATCCCACAGACCAGTCCTACCCCTGGCATTACCTGTAAAATGGTCACAGCATTGCGAGATGGCAAAGAAATAGGCTTTAAGAAAATTTAGAGAATTTTGTGACTTAGGTATAAAAGTAACAGCCCACTAATCTGTGCAGAAGAGCTCATCTTTTCCTTGGAGATTATCTCCTGAGTATCTAGTCCAGTGCTGGGCTCTATGTTGAATCCTGAGGATACAGGGAAGGGGACAGTCCCCATCTTCACGGAGTAACTTGGGACTGAACCTTGGGAAACAGTGTGGAATTCACAAGCACCGTGGAGCCTCACGGGACTGTCGGCAAAGTTGTCCTGGAATAAGGAGGTGGCATCTGTGCTCAGTCTGAAATACTGAAGAGATCTGTTTTTACCCCGTCGAGCGAGCCCTGGTTGCTTAGATTCCTCCTTCACTGTGGCTCGGTGGCAAGCACTGTGTCGGGACGGGAGATGTTGAGATGAACAAACCCATCCCTGCCTTCCTCCATGTAGTCAGATCGACACGTGACCAAATCACTGCAGCAGTGGAGTAAGCGGTACAGGGGGTTGGAAGAAAAAAATCAGCTTTCAATTCATGGATTGCTGCCCAGTCAACAAGCTGGGTTTATTGTTGCACACAACCACACCCACCACCAATCCTCTTACAAAAAACACTGGTTCACTTCCATATTTATATTTTAATTAAGCCTCATCTCCTCTCTGTGCTAACATTTCCCCACTTGTAAAGCAGTTAAAGCTATTTATTTCCAAAAACACTTTTGTTTCCTTTGGTGTGAGGAAAGGCAGTATAAATACCATGCGTCTACTTTTTATAAATCCTAGCCTGCTTTTGTGTTCCAGTGATTAAAGCAACGAGGTTTATAGTGTTAGTGTAGGGAGAGAGACTCAGCAAATGGATGTTTGACGTTTGTTACTCTTAGAAGTCTGCCTCTCGGTACGTCTCGTGTGTGCATGTGTGTAAATGCGTGCGTGCACACACACAACTTGTAGCTCGATCCTAAGAGTGCAAAGGCATCCCACGAGATAAGGTCTCAGAACTGTGGTTTAGAAGTGATGAGTCACACCACCATTCCCTATGTGTGTTGGGAATATTGAGAACGCTCCTCGTTACAATAAAAAATAATCATTTGGCTATTGGCTGTCAGCCTCTCCTTTTTTTTTTTCTTTTCCTTTGAATAACACCCAGGAAAGACTGGTTCCCTGAAAGGTGTTACGAAACTAAAGTGAGGGTTGGTGATGTTTTCCCACCGAGGACAGGGAGCGTAAGTTCAGGGGCTCTGGGCCCCAGCACACGGGTCTGCGCTCCAGGCCACCCCTCCTCCTGGGAGAAGCTGCGGCTGGGAAAGCTCTTGGCCAGCTCCCTAAGCAAAGTCTCAAGTGAGCAGCCCAGACCGTAAGCCTTTGAGATCTAGGAAGCAGGCAGGACTGGGGCAGCTTGCCATTTCTCTTTCACATCTGCAAAATCATTCCAAAAATCGTAATAAAACATAATGCGGTTACCCTTTTCTTTGGAAATACTGTCTTAGGATGAAGAAAAAAATACTTGAAAACAAAAGCAGCCTTATTGAAATCGTGTGGGTGGGTGTCTGTGATGATTGCTGCCTTTGGGAAGGTAAAGGTCTGTGGCAATCATTTTGCAAACACAACGGATCAAGTCCACATTGCCACACAATGGATGGTTTCTGGTATTTTCAGTAAAACAGACATTCTTACAAATATTCTTTACCTTTGGATGTTGCTTAATTAATTGATGGGATGTCAGTGTTAGTTTTAAAAAGAGCATTCTACTGTCCCTCATTTCTTCATAAGAGCAGAACCTTCTGGAAAGCAAAGCACTGAGAACTCTGAAAAGATTTTTCTTCTTCTATTTAGGAAATTAGCTCACCTTACTGGCTACAGATCAGAGTCAGTCTCGTCTCAGAGGTTTTATAAAGGAGTTTCCCATTCTGGGTTTCCTTACCTTTTAAAGTTTCAGTCGCTACACAAAAGATAATACACATTTGGGATAGTCTTTGTCCACTTTAAAATTTTAAAAGTGTACTTGGGCTCCCATTAGTTATGCCTTGGCTGCTTCTAGGAAGGAGCGGAGAGAACTCACAATAATGCCAGGCTGTAAGAGTAGAAGACTGGCAGGAAACACAAGGCAAGAAGGAGAAAGATAGTCACAAAAGAATGCAAGATAATGGCTTTCTCTGAGCAGAAAGCTTGGCATCCAGTTTTCTTGATGAAAAGGAAACCTTACAGACCTCGGTGAAATGTCAGTGGTTTGGGTTTTTTTTCCTACATTCTCAAATTGGGCTATTGCAGTAAGAGGCTTTCCTCCACGTAGACTACTTATCGTTGATTGTACGTCAGGATTCTAATAACTTCCATGCATATGGATGGATCTGAATGGTGACTATTAGTCAAAATCAGTCTGTCTCGAGCCAGTAAACAAGGAGTGAGAGCGTGGGGAACATTTCTATGCCTAAAAGCATAGGCGTCCAGTTGCCACCAGACATAAAGGTTAGGGAAGAAGGTTCAGGAATTCACCATTCTCCTCTTTCACAGACTTAACAATCTTTGCCTCGGACCCTGACCAGATATTAACATTTAAATGCTCTTCTTCTCCCTAGTGCTATCAGTGGCTGAAGGAAAGAATTGTAAGTGAAGAGGGCCGAAAACAGCAAAACAAGCTTAAAGACCTTGCCCCGATTGCTGAGCGTCTGGGATGCACACTACCTCAGCTGGCTGTTGGTAAGGTGACCGGGAGGGGAGGCTCTGCTAGGTCACGGGGAAGAGTTCTCACATCCCTGTCATGATAAAGTATCTGGTCTAAGGGCAGACTGATCTCTAAAGCATAAGCTCCTGGTTAATACTATCTGAAACAAAGTTTTCAGAGTTACCCAGAATTTTCTACATGCTAAAGCACTTCCTTCCTGCCTCTGTCCCTTGTAATTCCGTTTAAATGAGAACAAGTCCGTGAAAACACACACATCCTCATGGTTTCAGGGGTGAATGCCCCTCGGTTGTGTATCCACTGTGACATCCATTTCTTCTGACTCAGTTTTCCATCCCTGTGGAAGCTAAGGGGGGCTGGTGAGAGGCCAGAGGCAGGGCTGGGTGTGCCCCGGGCCCAAGGCTACTGCCACATGGAAAACTGTCCTAGAGGAGCAGCTTCGACCTGCAACTTCCTGCGGGGCCATGAAAAGTGCTCTTCCATCACTCTGGAATTGATGGGATGTCAGGGTCACTCAGTGCTGTCCAATAGGAGCATAATGTGAACCACGTATTTAATTTTAACTTTTCTAGTGGCCAAACTAAAAAATTAAAAAGGAAAATAGATGAACTTAATCATGGATTTTATTTAACCGGTACGGTCAAAGCAGCATCATTTAACACATAATGACTTAAAAAGTTATCGAGATACTTTACATTCTTTTTTTCATAGTAAGTCTTCAAAATTGAGAATGTATTTTATACCAACAGCACATCTCAGTTCACATCTCCAGTAGCCACACGTGGCTTAGAGACCTTGCTCCGTAGTAGCACTCTGTGTTCAAGGTCTTGTCTCCTTAATCATCAAACCAGTCCCTTGAGGTGCTATCACTCGCCCTACCTTACAGATGTTAAGGAAAAATTTGCAGTCATCATCTCCACCTTACCAATGAAGAAACTGAAGGAGAAAAAAAAAATCCTTGGGGTAGCTATGAGAAAAGAAAAAAATGGGTGTAGATTCTAGAAAAAAATCCCCAAGGATTAAGAAACAGCAGGAACTGAGACTAATCCAATACAATGTGAAGTAAGGAGATAAAGAGCTCAAGTTCTATGAAAATAAAAAATGTAACAGAGTATTTGTTAGATGTGGGATCCTTCTGTGGCTGGAAGGCAGGGAATGGCTGCAGCTAGAGACAGCCAGAAACGGGAGGCAGTTGGGGAGAATGTGGGGAGAAGGTACATGTACAGGACTTGTTTTAGTCCTTTTTTTTTTCAAAAAATTAAAGGTCAAAGAATGATGTGATTATTAGCATCCCTAGAGCTTTAACAAGCAGAGTAAAAAGTATTGGCCATTTGGCCATAAGCAAATCATTTAACCTATCAATTTTCTTATCTGTAAACTGCATATAACACAGATCTTATGAATTTGTTGGGTAAAGGGAAATTATATATATGTATATGTATATAAATATGCCATATATATATATATGGCAAAGAGTAGATGCTCAATAAATGGTGATGATAATGATGATGTTTTTGCAAAAAAATGCTCAGACCTACAACTCCATTCCTAGCCATGGCGTGTAGTCAGAATGACGGGCTGAGAAACATCTATACTTGAAATACAGTCGGTCGTAAATATGGTTTTAGGTGGTAACGTGACAGTGAGTTTTGAATTAGCTCTGGAAGAGAACATTGTCTTTCTAAAGAGGAAATCTTGACCAGATTTAAACTTTCACTGGATGTTAGATATACATGAAAGACCCTCGTTACAGTTGGAGTTTAAGTTAAAACGTGCTTCGATCCTCCCTTTCCTTCCTCTCTGCCTCCAGTTGTCTTGCTTGCCTTTTTTTTTCTTTATAAACAAGTAGTTTTGCTTTTAAGCACAGAACTCTCAAACCAAGAGGGAAATTATTTCCAGGCATATTACCTTTGATCTGCTAGCAGGGTGTAGGGGAGAGGGCATCCCCTGTCAGGAAACAAACCACTTGAACCCAGCTGTAGGCTGGCTCCCATGCTGCACACCTGCACAGGGGCCAGCATTCACACTCGGCTCGTAGGCATCCCGGATAGGACTGCTGGTAACGCTGCGTTAGAAGCGAGAATCCTCTGTATGTATTCTCTGTCACACTGGCCAGCTCATGTCCTGCAGCCCATGGGTAAAACCGGCTGTTGCTGACATCAGGTAGTTTATGGGCAATGATTTTGAGTGCCCTGCTTTGACCTCAGAACTTAATACCAGAGCCAAGAGTTCTCCAAGTGCAAAGCAGGAAATAATGCAGCCAGGAAAAGAAAAAAAAAAAAAAAGTCCTGGATCACTGGGCATTTTGCCTTTATAGAGTATTATTTTGCCCATGTGGAAAGATTTAGTGATTGACTCAAAAGGCCAGAACATGGTAACAGCATAACAGTATCTACTGCAGGGTCTGAGCAGATGGGGGCAGAAGTAATGCTTGGGGACACCCATCAGCCATTCACACCTGTATTTATTCAACAAACACGTATTAAGCGCCTACTGTGTGCAGGTGCTGGACTGGGTGCTGAGCATCCATGTGCAAACAATGTATCTCACAGCCTGGTGGGCAAATCAAGAAAATAAAATAGATAACTTTAACCCAGTGTTATAATAAAATAATTGAGAAGGGCACAGAGGTTCCGGAAGTTAAGCAAAATGTAGAGGTTCCCAACCCAGCCTGGGATTTAGGGAAGGGCTTTGGGAAGAGGCAGTGCCCATGAGGAGTCTCAAATGATGAGCAGGTATTCGTGAGGCAGAAGGACATTCCAGGCCAAGGGCACACTTGGGCCGAGGGCTTGAGGAGGAGAAAAACAGCATGAGGTTGGGGACGGAAAGGATTTACCGACAGTTGAGTGCTGCTGAAGCCAAAGTTCAAGGCAGGGAGTGAGAAGCCACACAGCTGGAGGGACCGGCTGGCTGCCCAGCAGGTTTGCCAGGGTGAGGAGTGAGAGCTTCGTCTTCCACGACAACGACTGTGTCAGGCACATGTTGAAGACCTTTTAAGCAGGCGTGCACGATCGGATTTGTATCTGGAAAGATTGCCGCTCAATGTATGACAGTGATGGGGGGAAAGGAGGGAAAATCCTGTGAAGCGGAGGGCAGGGGTGGGGGGCGGACCAGCTGGGCAGGAGAGGGACAGTGAGGTGCCGCATGAGGACGGTGGGCAGCGAAACCAGAGCAGTCATTCTCAGTGTGGTCCCACCTCCACGATGGAATGCCATTTAGCAAAAAGGGAAGTATTTACTAATAAATGCTAATAATGTGGTCAACCTTGCAAACATGCTGAATGAAAGAAGTCAGACAAAAAAGATCCGTATTTTAGCTGGGATTCCATTCAAATTGTGTCCAGAATAAAATCTATAGGGGTACAAAGTAGATTAGTGGTTTCCTGGACTTGGGGTAGAAATGGGACTAACTGTAAATGGTGATGGTTGCATATTTGATAAACTTAAAAAAAGATTATTGAATGATAAACCTTAAATGGGGAAAATTTACCTCAACCAAGTTGTTTTTAGAAAAAGCATGGTCCCTGGAAGCTTATCAGAAATGCAGATCCCCAGGGCCCAATGCAGCCCTTCTGAGTCGGAAACCCAAAGGTGGCACCCAGTGACCGTTCCACAAGGCCTGCGGGTGGCCGGGGCATTGCCACCACGAGAGCTACTGGATTAGAGAAGTACTGAGGAGGAGTGATCTGGCAGACGTGGCAATTAAAAGGGCACGCAGGCTCGAAAGGGCAGTTCCTAGGGTAACACCCTGGTTGGGGATGGGGAGGCCAAGGTGCTTGGTGGTGCCACTAAGTGAGGCTGGGAACGCGGGGCAGGCGCGCTTGGTAGTTGGGTAGCAAGAGCGAGCAGGGCCGGTGGGGGCGGTGGGGCGGTGGGGCCGAGCAGCGGGGCCGAGCAGCGAGTGGGCAGGTGCTGCATCTAGGCCTGCACGGAGCCCTCTGGCTGCGGGCGCTTCTGACGCGGGGGGGGGGGGGGGGGGGGGGGGCGACCTCGGGAGTCTAGAACAGCCTTTGAGAAGTCTAGGACGGGACGAAGTTGGGGCAGTGCGGGGCGGACGTGCAGGGTCGGAGGAGCCAGAATGGGGCAAATCCGATAAAGAGGAGGAAAGCTGCAGGAAACTTGAAATTCAGCGAAGCAAGAAACGGTGCTGAGTCAGGTCCAGGAGAAGGCGACGGAAGTGGGACCCAGGGTAGGCCTCGGCCTTGCACCCACCTCATCTCCCGCCCCTGGAGCCGCGTGCTGCTCGCCCCACCTGCGCGGCCTGGGAAGTCGGGTCCCGGGAGCGAGGGGCTGAGGGCGGCTCCGGGGTGGGGGTCGCCAGAGGCGGAGGGAGAAGAGGCGTGACGGGCGAGGCCGGGGAGGGGGGCCGGGGAGGGGGCCGGGGAGGGGGCCGCTGAGCAGCCCGGGCTGACGGCCGGCAAGGGAAATCCTGCGTCGCTCGTCGCTCGTCGCTCACCGATGGAGGCGAAGGAACGAGACCCCGCGGTCTGCGGGACTGTGTGCCGCGGTGGGGCCGGGGCAGGGCGACGCGAGCCACGCGCGCATCTGCCATCTGCGGGGCGGGGATGGGCCTGGGCCTGGGCCTGGGCCTCCCGCCCCGGGACGGACGGGCGCGGCGGGGCCTGGAACCCGGGCGGCGCCGTCCCTGCTCCCGCAAACCTTGCTGAGTCCGGGCGGCCACGCGGGCTCACGGGGCTGCGGACGGCGGCGGAGCAGGGCGGGCCCGGGCCCCTGACGCGGTGTCCTCCCTTCGCAGCGTGGTGCCTGAGGAACGAAGGCGTGAGCTCCGTGCTCCTGGGCTCCTCCACCCCCGAGCAGCTCGTCGAGAACCTCGGCGCCATCCAGGCAAGTACCGCAGCCCTCGGCCGCCCGCTCCGGCAGCCCCCGCGGGTTGCGGCCTTCCCAAAGCTCTTCCCAGGGCGGTGTGGCCCCGGCGTCCCCTCCCCGCACGAAGCGGCTCGTGGCGCACAGCCCTCCCCGGGGGCTCCCGCCGCAGACCCCGCCAACCGGGGCAGCCCTCGGGGTCGCCCGGGGCACTGCCTGCCGCCCCGGGGGCTCCCCGAGCTCGCACCGCGGTGTCCCGTGTCCGCCGTGTCCCCCAGGCGACGTCGGAGAGCTGTGCAGGGAATGTCCCCACATGCTACGCGTCCCAGAGGAAACGGGCTCAGAATTGTTCGGGGCCTCCGGGATCACATCCTCCGTCTCAGCAGCCGGTTCAGAACCAGCCATCCCAGTCCTCCCCGCGGGTGGGAACGGGGGGGGCGGGGGGGGGGGCAGTGGCTGCCGTGACCTCCCCGCCCGCGCCCTGCTCCGGCCGCGGCCACAGCTGCCCAAGTAGGTGCAGCAGGTGCGCTGGGGACGCGGGGTCTCCCCGGCCACGTGCCCCGGCGGCCGCGGTGCAGGAGGGTGACAACAGGCCCAACAGTGAGGACTGCGCCGCCTCACAGAGCGTTCTGGACCGACGGCTGCTTAAAAGTCCGGGTCTTGCGACGCTGTATGTACGTTTTTCATGTTTTATTCAAGTAGTTGTACGGCTGCTTCGTTTGATGCCTAACTCGGAAATTCACTTGGGCGTCCTGAAGGAAGAGTTTTCCCTCCTCGCGGGCCGACCCGACCCGCAGCTCCACTTGGTCGACGTGGGCCCGTGTGGGCCCGTGTGGGGCCCGGGGTGGCGGCCTCACGTCGGCGTCAGCTCCCCGAGGCCCCGCAGCCGGGGGCACGTCCCCCCTTCGGTGCGGAGAGGAAGGCGGTAGGCACGGGGCGCCTCGGGGCCTCGGGGCTCCGGGGGGCAGCCCTGCCGCGGACTCGGGTCCCCCGGCGTCACCCGGGCCTCCCGCCTCGACGACCGCAGCGGGGGCGGGGGGGGGGGGCGGAACCGCGGCCTGACGGGGCCAGTCCAGCCGCGAACAAGCCAGCCGTCCCGTCCAGGGCTGCAGCCTGTGCCCTTGATCCCCGCGCTCCCTCCGGCCGGGCGCCGCCGCGCTCCGCCTGCACCAGGGTCTCTGAGGCCGCTGCCCCTTTCCACCTCCTCCAGCTCAGCCCCGGGCTACCTCGGGGTGTCTGACGGGGTCACGCCCAGCCCACAAGTCCCGGGCAGCGGCCCCGGCGGCCGTCCGTGCTGTCACCCCCACTGCCCCTCCCCGGCTTGTGGCCACGGGCGCAGCGGCCCCCACCCGGGCCTCTCACGGGAACTGGCCTCTGGGCGCGGAGCAGCTGGTCAGGAGGGAGACGCCGCGGGGGGGGGGGGGGCGTACTGGCTCTGAAGGCTTCGCATTTAAACAGACGCAGCGCATCTTAGTTTTCTGTAAGGACACGTTGGAAGGTGCTGGACGAAGTGGAGGACGCTTTGTCTTAGAGACTTTATCCATGAGAGAGAGAGAGGCGGAGACCCAGGCAGAGGGAGGAGCAGGCTCCACGCAGGGAGCCCGACGCGGGACTCGATCCGTCCCGGGACTCCAGGATCACGCCCTGGGCTGAGGGCGGCGCTAGACCGCTGAGCCCCCCCGGGCTGCCCTAAAATGGAGGCTTTAAAGACACTGATTTCCTGTTTCTCTCCCCTGTGATGTGGCCATTAGAACATCTGAAATCCCGGGGCTCCTATTCCCGGGAGCCCGCACTTACGTTCCGCCTTTACGCGGCTGCGCAATACTTAGAAGCAGCAACCGTGAGCCAGGCCCGGCCCTCTCCTCGCAGGCGCGCAGTGGAGAAAACCAGGTCCCTGAGCTCAAGGAGCTCGCGGGCGGGAGGGGGCTTCCCTGGAGCTGCGGTGCACAGGTCCGGTGCACAGGTCCGGACGGCTTCGCTCCCGCCTAAGCACAAGGAACAGACGATCAGGTACTGACCTTTCCCTCTGTCCTTCTCCTGCTCTCAGGTTCTCCCAAAGATGACATCACACGTGGTAAATGAAATCGATAACATATTGCGAAACAAGCCCTACGGCAAAAAGGACTACCGATCCTAAGTGCATGAGTCGGGGGACCTGCATGGGTAACCGCGGTCTGTCCGTACAGAACGGCGTCACTAGCCGGCCTTGAGTCACTTAGCAGCCTGCTGCTCAACCTCTAGTATTCCCGGATCCTGAGGTACCTGCTGTCGCTACCACTGTGCACCCGAGTTACGAGCACATCTGAAAACTCACAACCAAGAAAATCCATTCTATTTTCTTATCTTGGACTGGAGTCACCTAGTGCTGCACCTCATGCTTACGCCACAGAGTATGTATGCGGGGGGGAGGCCTGTCACCTTCAGGCACTTAGTAACTTGAAGGCTGTACAGCTATATTTTTTCAGATGCATAAAACCCGCAGATGCAACGTGGGTTGCATCAGAAAAGAAAGAGTAGGCTACGTTCACTCAGAAGTCTTACTTGGGAGAATAAGCAGAAACAACTTCACATTTTTTTTTCCTATTTCTGCAGTAAAGAGCTGTTTCCCTTGTCCTTCAACAAAAATAAAATTCCAAGGTATGCTTTCATTACCTTTTAAGAATATTCACTGTTGTTTGGCCCGAAGAATGCCCTGTATTGTGATTTACCCGAAGTATGTATTAGGATCCTATTAGCATCATGTCCATTCACACGTAAAGGTGGTGAAAGGATGGTGGAAGGACGAACAGCACGTCTTTACCTTGACACATTATGCCTAATTTAGAAAAGGGAGGATTACACTGCTATGGAAGCTTAGCCTTGAACAAAATGTAATATATCTGCAGTTGAAGTGTTCACTTTTGACTACATTTTATTAAAACCTGCTTTATACTTTGGACTGCCTGTAGGCACAGCTTCTGCAAGTTTAAATATTTGAGCTTTAAAAATAAATAGACACATGCTCAGTTTTGTAAGTAAACCTGTAAAATACCCACAAAGGCAAATGTTTGCTGTTTAATTAGCACTGGGACTTTATAATAATAGAAAACTGGTTTTTGAGGAGTTAACATGAAAGGGAATCACGGACTTCGTGAAAAATGCTGTCACTGCTCAGCATATGCTGGGTGAATGAACCTGCCTAGTAAAAAGCAAATGTTAGAAAATTTCCTGATTCTATAACCACATTATATTGCACTAAACTAATGCATGAAAGTTCTCTGCATGGATGGGAGGGGCCTAGCCTCCTTGCACACAGAAGCTGAGGGCTAACTCGTTACCTACCCTCATGAATATTCCACTTGAAAAAAACCTGAGAATATCTTGTGTGTACCTGTAAGGAGGGAAAACTCCGGGGGGAGGGGGGTCCTATGTCTCTATTTGGATACCTGAGCATGTACAAGATTCCGATTTTCTGGTTAGCAGTACCCCATAGAGAAGCCACTCTGAGATGTGAAGAATAGACTATCAGCTTAAAATGCTACTGTCACCATTTCCAAATACGTACTTCATGACTAAATTCTAAATCTTAAAGTGTTAGTGTGAAACACCAATAAATTTTTTTTCTGTTACTACTACCTGTATTTTAATAAGAAAACAGTTTGGTTTTTTTTGCCCAGTAGTATCAGATTAATGATGGATCATCCTTCAGTTGTTCATTGTGTGTTAAACCAGTGAACCGCTGTCTGCATAAATGAGCTCAAGTTGTCTAATTGGAACTGCAATTTAACTTATTTGCTTAGAGTAATAAAAGCATTTTGTGCATTTAATCTGAGTTATCTGATCTTTCATTATAAAGGAATATATGCATATACCTCCATGAAATAGGAAGAATCATTTGAATAAAAATTATTTTGGCAAGTAAGCAGCACTGAATGAAACCTATCAAAAGATTTCAGTGACCAAACTTTTTTCTCCTCTTATTAATGAAGAAGATTATTAACTGCTAAAGATATCCTCTCGCACTGGGTTTTAAAAATACACTACACTGAGGCCAAAGGGTTTCAGAAACCTTTAAGAACACCTGCAGATTAAGGCCAAATGACAAACATCATTGCTTACCCGTGGGAACAACTTTTTTTTTTTTTAGCAGACAAATCATCTGCCATAGTAAACATACTAGATTAGAAACATCAGTTACATCCTTAAGAAAAGTTTCCACCTACTCCCATTTTCTTTGCTGGAAAGAATTTCTTAGCAGGGAGCATACCCTTCCGAAGGGTAACCGCGGGAGCAGCCATCCACATAGACATCTTAGACGCTAGCTTCATCCTCATCAATAGTGTCCCATCTGTCATCAGGTGTCAGAGCTTCACCTTCGCCAGCTTTGGGGCCACCACTCCTTGGCAAAGGGGAAACCAGGCCTAAACCCCAAGTTTTCAGTGTTCTAGTCCAGTGCTTTTTTTAAGGATGAATTTTATGAATTCTGGAGGTAATTTTTTTTTTTTTTACAGTAAGAAAGCTGGGGAAAGAATCCAAATTCAGAATCAGTTAAGAGGCAAAGGCCAGAAAGCAGATGCCACGAGAACTCATGAAAGCCCATGAGAAGTTAGTCTCTAAATGCATCCATCAAAATCTAAACCAACCACTCAGAAACCCTCCTAATCTTCAGTTAATTATCCTACCTGGGAGTCCAAAGAGGTGGGAGATAATCCCCCAGAGCCCAAACAGTGTCTATGTCTCCTTTACGTCTCCAGAAGCAGCAGGGACCAGCGCACACACGGAAAGCCCAGAACGCGGGTGGCAGGACAACGCGGCAGGCAGAGGGTGGCGGAAGCCGGACACGCTGCTCTGTAATAGAGCCACATCATGCCCGTCGCTGCCACACACACGTTCCCCAGTAACTACAAAAATGCACATCTACGTATGTGGGAAATTTAAGTGGTAATGTCAAATAGTGTAATAAAGATGATGTACTTATTCACATGGCGCTCATAAACAGGTCTAGGGAAAATACAAATTTTCAAAAGCAAAGTTTAATCATACTAATAAGACTTTTCACAAGGATTTTGGGTAGGACTCCAACCTCCGTATTTCAGTGAGCTTTAAACCTTGTAAGTTACTGTTTCCAAATTAGAATAATTAACCAAATAGGACAACCAGTAGATTTTTACTGGCTAAGAAGAATTTCAACCTTTTTATGAAGTTGAAAATAAAAAACTAAAAATAGGAAAATGTAAAACAAGCCAACACTTTAAGCCTCTACTTATTAACACAAGGGGGGGGTTTAGTTGCTTTTAATCCCCTTTTTACTTTACTGGTGTTGGATATGGGGTCTTTTTATGATATAAATTCTGCAGCAGGTTTTTAGTAACTGAATCAGATGCAGCACATCAAAATTCTATGTGCCACATAGCTTTGAGGATGGGGCGAGTTCTGGGGAAAAGTTCTATAATTTACTGGTAGAGTAGACCCTGAATGAAAATTGTAAATGTAAGTATATGCCTTATAAACTTACGCACAGAAATTCAACCGTAGAGAAGGCTAGAAACCATTAACCAGAACCAAAAATTGCTCTCGGTAAGATTCAGGACCAAAATCAAATTTTGCTTATTTGCTTGTCTACAAATTATTCAATTTCTGAATTCAAGAGACATTCTACTAAGAATATTAAACTGCTGCCCTCTTCACCACTCCATCTGGGGAACCACTGTACCCTAAGAACGCCGGCAGTGCCATCTAGTGGCCCTGCTTTACCCGCAGTTAAAACAACAGCAACAACAAAAAAACTCAAAAACACACTTGGCCCAGCTCTGGTAACAATCAGGAGACCCTGACTGTTTGTCAAATAAGCAAATGCGTTTGGTACACACACCCCGTGCCACTCAACTACTGACCGCTTATTCCTCTACCAAGAAAAGTTAACACATAAAACCTCTCGTGTAGTACAATCCTTTGCGGGGACTCTCTTGCGATCTCCCCATTCATTTCATATTACCCAGTGGTGGCACATGGATAATAATGCACCAAAGTAAATTGCAAACTTCTAGAAACAATGAGCAAATATAATCCTGAAATGAAGACAGTGATGATCTTGATCACTATGCAAGTGTGCCCTTGCCCGGGTCTCCCAAGTTCTTGGATGTGCCCTACCAAAAACACCCAACAGCATAAAAGATCGATACAGATGAACACCTTTCTACAAAATTATAAACAAAACAGCAAGTATTTTTTACAACATTCACCTTAAATTTAGAAGTGGAAACTAAAGATTAAAGTTAAGATTAGGAATTAGGAATAGGATCTTCCTGTTGAAGTACTGTTTGTAGGAAATTACTGGATATGGTCAAAAGCTAACATGAATATGAACCTGTATTACCTCCATAACCCTTTCAATAATTCAAGCTAAAAAAGCTTCCCAAACTTTTTCACATCACGGCATGCACCAGAAAATAATTATCTTTGCAAACATTGGTTAAAAATGCCAGAGCATGCTCTTGGCTGGACCCCAGGGGCTGAGGAGGTTAATATGAAGTTTTGTGCACGATCAATAGGAACCTGTGGACCAAAGGGTCAAATTTATGAAAGTCCTGATGGAAAAAATGCTGCACTAGATGCTGCGTAAGCACTAAACCCACTGCAATTCCTTAGAGAGTTCATAGAATTCTGGAACTAAGATTACAAAACATTTCTTTGATCTTTTACACATCAATATTCAGGAAGGAGGTTCACTACTGAACATTCCTCCAGTGGTATGAGACCGTGGTCAAGGAAAACAATGACTCCAGTCTCTTAAAACAGGTCAAACCAACATGGTAAGGTTAAGCTGACCTCCCTGGCCACCCAAGGCCACAGCTATACAGCTGAACAGTATGTGCCTTAACCCCACAGGACAACTCTCCTAATGCCTGGCCGCTATTTTTAGGTTAGTACCCTAGCTGCCTTTCTTCTGTAAAACAAAAACAGAAATTTTGCACCAGTTTCTCTTCCCCCAATTGGACACCTTGTTTTTTTAACTGTGAGTTATTTCAAATCACAAATTCAAGTGACTCGTAAACATGAGGCTGTTCAATCCCCAAGGGGAAAGGATTCATTCTGATATTTATGATTCAAAAAAAGTTATAATATTGTGGTTAGAACACAAAGAACCACTTACTAACTTCTTGCTATTATAAATAATAACAGCTCAGTCCAGGTTACTGTGACCTCTGACAGATCAAGGAAACAAGTTATTTTCTCCTCTTGTGATTACAGCACATTACGAGACTTTTTACCTTTTAATAAATGTCCTGGACTCTGAATTTTCCTTTCAATTCATTTAATTTCAACAATCTGTCAAAAAAAGAGCCAATAAACAAATACTGAATTACATTTTGTTGGGTTTTTCAAACCCTCCAACTGCAGACTATAAAAACATCTTGTGTGTCTCTCATTCTGACCACCCTGTTACTTTTCCATATACCACAGGCCACCCATAGATACGAAGCCAGGGGCCAAAGCCGGTACAGTCTACTTGGAGCCAGTAGACAGAAGGGCGATGAGGCCTGATGAAGCACTTATGGACAAAATATAGTTCCTGTAAAAATTTAATGTTAAGGAAATATTAAAAGCCCAAGAAGTAGCTCAACAAAATAAAAAGATTTTGCCCATCTCTTTGGAATGCACTATTTCCCTCCTGACACTATAAAACGACAATGACGCGCAGGCCCATTGTCTGCAAATGCAATTTACAAGACAGAAGGCTATAAAGAATGAAGAACATTAGCACAAGATGTGTTCCAATTTTAAAAAGGAAACACTTGCGAGAGAACCTAGACTACATGATCACAAAGACGACATCTGAATTCCATTTAACCTAAAAGAGAAGACTTTGTCAAGAAGGAACTTCTCCAACTTATCTCCGCCCCCCTTCTCCCCTCCCCCACCTAAGAGCAAAGGAAAAATAAGTTTCCCCTGTCCCTCAGTGTTTTAGCTACGAGTTGCCCAGGAAAAGCAGAGGCTCTGAAAGTTCACAGCCACTCTCAGCCTCAGAACTGGACTGTTGGGGCAAACCACTCTAGTGTTCCCAGGAGATACAAGTTGAAGGAGCTTGCTGTAGTACAGAACATCTCCACCTGTTGAAAGTCTGGCTGCATATCCCTACCTAACACCTTTAACAAATTACGTAAAAAGAGAAGACTGATTCTTGCCCAAAAGCTCAATTTAAGAGCAGCCTGAAACACTGTTAAGATATCATGAAACCTGCCTATTTAACTGCACCGGCTACTCACCCAATTCCAAAGCCCCAAAATATCAGCAGACACGTGCTTATGGCAGGAGCTATCAAAGATGGCAACTTTGCTTTTGATTCTTGGAACTTATTTTTAAATAAGCAGGTATACAGAATCACATATGTAGGACTGCTTTGTAATAGTTATTATTTATCATGAAGTTGTAATTTGTAAACTTCAAAGAACTTTAAATCAAGCCCAAAGCCCCTCTTTTACATGTCCACAAACTTGCCTAGGGTCACAGTGCTATTTATTTAGTGCACTGATTCCCTAGGCAGTTTTTCTTCATAGTAAAATATTTAGATAAATCAAAACCAAAACAAACTACTGCTTCTAGACTTCAAAAAATGCTAATGAACCTTTAAAAGGATACACCGTTGGGTTGAAGTTCTTCAATATAAAGAAGGAGGCAACAATGACCAAGACCAGGAATAGGGTGTTGTTATAGAAGATGGAAAATGTTGTAGCTTCATAATCAGCAACTTCATTCTTCTTCCACAAAATTCTGTACACAAACAAATCGAGTTTATAAAAATATTATAGAATATTTTAAATACCACATGGCTCTAGTTTACTATATAAAGTGAGTTTTTCCTTAAGTATTCTGGGCAGAATGTGGTTTTTGTTTTGTTTTGAAGATTTTACTTATTCATGAGACACAGGCAGAGGGAGAAGCAGGCTCCACACAGGGAGCCCGACGTGGGATTCGATCCTAGGAGTCCAGGATCACGCCCTGTGACGAAAGCAGGCGCTAAACCACTGAGCCACCCAGGGATCCCCACAGAATGTGTTTTTACTATTAAATTTAACCAGCATTTGTGCCCTTTTTTCCTGCTGAAAAAGATATTTTACTCTATTGATAAAAATAGCTGCTCGGTATATTACCTTTTTTCCCAGGCAGTCAGGGCTTTGGAGGAAGGGACAGATTAATTGCAATTGGCTTGGTTTCACCAGTGGCCTAAAGAGACATCGTTCTCTAGGTCCTCACCTAAAAAGAACTCCGCGATCAGTAGCCAGATGAAGCTTTCCTGGCTATTTGCTGGCTTGAGATGCTCAATAGCCTACAGATTTCAGCCTTCAATATTACACCTGAAGACAATCCCAAGGACTAAAACAGCCATGGCTCACAGAAGCAGACTTGTCTGCAATTATCTTTAGCCACTTTACATAATTCAAAGAGTCTGCTTCATCATTAGGAGGATTTTTTAACTTTGTAAAACCCATTTACTTTTTCTTTTATCCATTTTACTCCTTATGTTTTATTAACTGACTAAAACTTTATCAACTTTTTCTTTTACCTCTTCACACAGGCAGCAGGAAGTCCCAAGATGCCTATGAATCGGGTAGCCTTTACTCCATTTGGTTAATTAACTTTGTAAAGCAGTTTTTAAAAGAGTAGGTTGTGACCCATTAGTGGGATGTGAAATCAACTGGGTGGATTCAATGCTCAGAGAAAATAAATGAGTGGATTGAGACTAGCACTTTTTAAATAGAAAAATATTGAGTGTATCATCCACAGCAGGATAATTATTGTTTTGTGCAACATTTGCATGTGTGCAAGTTTGAGTGTATTTGGTTGA